TGCTGGCGTGCTGTTGCGTGTAGCGGTCGCTTAGGCTCTGGAGCAGCAGCAGCCGCAGCAGCAGCAGCTGCTGCTGCTGCTGCAGCTGCAGCTGCTTGGGACTGACCTGGGCCTCCTGCATAGCCGTGCCACTTCTTCAATAGGTGCTCCGGGCAGTAGAAGGGACTGCAGCAGCAGCAGCAGCAGCAGCAGCAGCCCAGCAGCAAATTCAGCAGCAGCAGGCAAGCAGCAGCACCCCAACCCTCTCCACAACAAGCGTCCAAAGCAGAAGCCACAGCAGCAGCAGCAGCAGCAGCAGCAGCAGCAGCAGCAGCCAGCGGGCCCACATGTCGCGTCGCTGCTGCGTGGCGCGCAGGTGGCAGGGGAGGTGAGTTGCTGCAGCACATTTGCTGCTGCTGCAGAGGCGGCCGGCGCCGCGGCAGCCACACCAGCAGCAAAAAGTGCATGCAGCCCGCAGCAGCCCGCGAGTTAAGTTATACCACTGGCTGCCTTCTGCGCTGCTGAGGACTTCTTGGCAGTGGTAGCTGCAGTCCTCGTGCACCGCCACGCGCAGGCACCTGCTGCTGCTGCTGCTGCTGCTGCTGCTGCTGCTGCTGCTGCTGCTGCTGGGGGGCAGCGGGATCGAGATGCACCCCACAAACAGCCGGTCTAGCTGCTGCCCTTCCCCGCAGAAGCCGCACCGCACTGCGCCAAACCACTCGCACCGCTCCCTGCAGCAAAACCCGCAGCAGCAGCAGCAGCAGCAGCAGCAGCAGCAGCAGCTGCTGCTGCAGCAGGTGAGTCTAGTGCGCCAGGCGCAACAACAGCAACAGCCGGTGAGCTGTCTGCGGAAGTAGCGTCGCGCCTGAGCTGCAAATACACTAGCAGGTCAAGCACAGCAGCAGCAGCAGGAACTCACTCTGGCCTGGGCCCCTGGATCTCGTCTTCATAGACATATTGGCTGTTGCCGATCTTCAGCCCCACGGCGTCATCGGCTTCGCTTTGCTGCCACGTCACCCCCGGTCCCTTAAAAAGCTGCAGCAGCAGCAGCAGCAGCAGCAGCAGCAGGTTTGGAGCCCCGTGGCTCCGGGTTTAGGGTTTAGGGTTTAGGGTTTGCAGGTCTGGCTTGCCATGAGTTTCTCCAGCTTCTTCTTGGGAATGCTGCCCGACACCCAATCCACAATCCGCTGCGCCTCCCTGCTCCCACTAATGCACGCCCCTACAGCAGCAGCAGCAGCAGCAGCAGCAGCAGCAGCAGCAGCACAATAACCACCACCGCCCTCCCGGTCCCCCTCTCCTCTTCTTCCCCCGCCTCCCCGCACCACAGCCCCTCCCCAGCCACCCCCGCAGCACCAGCAGCACCCCAGCAGCAGCAGCAGCAGCAGCAGCAGCAGCAGCAGCAGCAGCAGCGGACCGTGGGCGGTGGAAGGGTAGGGCCTGGAGGTGTGTTCGCCCGCGAACAAAATGCTGCTGGCAGCAGGTGCTGCCAGCAAGTCCAAGTCCCGCCCCGAGGCCCCGGGAGGCAGGAAGGAATAGCTGCCGCGGGCAAAAGGGTCTTGCTGCCAGCGGGAGGCGAAGGCAGCAACGGGCAGCGCCAGCTGCCCGTGCAGCAGCAGCAGCAGCTCCAGCGCTTCGGACAGCAGCGCCGCTTTGCTGCGCCGCTCCGAGCTGAACCCGAAGCGCCCGCTCAACTGACACGCGCAGCAGCACACGGACGGCTAGCTGGCTAGCTGGCTAGCTGGCGGGCTGGCGGGCTGGCTGGCGGGCGGGGTGGCTGCGCGGGTGGCTTGCTGGGTGGGTAGCTACCTGCGCGGGTGGCTAGCTAGCTGCGGGGTGGCTAGCTGCGCAGGTCGCTGGGTAGACAGCTAGCTAGCTAGCTAGCTAGCTAGCTAGCTAGCTAGCTGGGTAGCTGGGTAGCTAGCTAGCTGCATCTGAACGGGCAGGGGCGGCTACAGCTAGCTAGCCAGCTAGCTAGCTGAGTACCTAGCTAACTCTCTAGCTAGCCAGCTAGCTAATTGGCTAGCTAGCTAGCTAGCTAGCTGTGAGGCGCACGAGAATGAGGACTGCGGGTTTGGGGTGTAAGTACACGATTTGGGCATAAGCCCCCTTTTCTGCTGCTGCCCAGCCCTTTTGTCTGCAGCCCATGCGCAGCAGCCGGCCGCTGGGGTCCACGTCTCCTGCTGCTGCTGCTGCTGCTGCTGCTGCTGCTGCTGCGGCTGCAGCGGCAGCCGCCTCCGCCGCAGCACCCGCACCCAGCTCCTGCTCCGCAGACGCGCACGCGGAAAGAGCCGCAGCAGCAGCAGCATCCCCTGAAGAATCCGCTGCTGCTGCCCCTGCTGCTGCTGCTGCTGCCCCTGCTGCTGCTGCTGCTGCCCCTGCTGCTGCTGCTGCTGCCGCTGCTGCTGCGGAGTCCGCGTCCGCCCCTGCTGTTGCAGCAGCGCCGACGCCTGCAGCGGGAGCCTCAGCCCCCGGAGGCGCAGCAGCGCCGTCACCGCCAGCAGCAGCAGCAGCAGCAGCAGCA